TCCTCCACAGTCCTTTCTTCGTGTTCGTGCTGGCCCGGAGTCTGACTCTCTTCGTGCTGCTAGTCCCACTGTCACGCATCTCCTAGCTACTGTTGTCACTGACCCTTTTTTTGAGTCCACTGCTGCGTCTCCCTTAGTTGCTGAGCTTGTCAACTTTGCTGCTCGCTGTCGTCTGGACTACTCTACTAGTCTTGTTGCTGAGTCTGAGTCTGTCTGTCCTCCGTCCGTCGGAGGTGAGTGTGCTCTTAGCACGGACGTCCTTGAGGACAGGCAGGAGGAGTTCCAATGTTTTGCTGCTGCTTTGCCTCATCTCGTGTCCACGCTGATTGCCCCTAAGGGAGACCCGGATGCACCAGACATCCCGACTCCTCGATCGTACGCTGAGGCGATCGAGGGTCCCTACTCCTCACAGTGGCAGTCAGCCATGGATGCAGAGATGGCTTCCTGGAAGTCCACAGGCACCTACGTCCACGAGGTTCCCCCACCTGGGGCGAACATCGTCAGTGGCATGTGGATTTTCAGGGTGAAGCGGCAGCCAGGTTCTCCGCCTGTCTTCAAGGCGCGTTACGTGGCTCGTAGCTTCAGTCAGCGGCAAGGAGTTGACTACTTTCAGACCTTCTCTCCCACCCCGAAGATGACCACTCTTCGGGTGCTGCTGCACATAGCCGCTCAGCGCGACTACGAGCTTCACTCTCTTGACTTCAGCACAGCTTTCCTGCAGGGCAGCCTTCACAAGGAGATCTAGCTGCGCCGCCCACCTGGCTTGACTGGGTCGTTTCCTCCTTGTACCCAGTGGAGCCTCCGGCGGCCAGTCTACGGTCTCCGCCAGGCGCCCCGTGAGTGGCACGACACACTGAGGACTACACTTGCGGCTCTTGGGTTTGCTCCTTCTACAGCCGACCCGTCGCTGTTTCTACGGTCCGACCCCTCTTTGCCGCCGTACTACATCGTGGTGTACGTCGACGACTTGGTCTTTGCCACTGCTGACACTGCTGGACTAGCCCACATGAAGTCCGAGCTGCAGAAGAGACACACGTGCACAGACCTGGATGAAGTGCGCAGCTACCTTGGCTTGCAAATCACCCGGGACAGAGCACAGCGCACCATTACCCTGACTCAGTCACACATGGTGCAGCAGGTCCTTCAGCGCTTCGACTTCACGTACTCCTCGCCTCAGGCCACTCCTCTGTCTACTCGCCACTCGCTCTGAGCTCTGCCTTCGGATGAGTCCGTAGAGCCGAGTGGCTCGTACCCAGAGCTTGTTGGCTGCCTCATGTACCTGATGGCCTGCACACGACCTGACCTTGCATACCCTCTTAGCATCTTGGCACGCTATGTTGCTCCTGGGAGACACCGACCAGAGCACATGGCTGCAGCGAAGAGGGTGTTGCGCTACTTGTGCAGTACGTCGGGCATGGGGCTAGTGCTTGGAGGGCGACGTCGAGTGGTCCTCACACGTCACGCAGACGCTTCTTGGGCTAACGACCAGGCTATGGAGCGGTCGTCACAGGGTTACACCTTCAGCCTTGGCTCCGGCTCTGTTTCATGGCGGTCTCCCCGCTTGTCTTCTGTTCTCGGCTCCAGCTGTGAGGCTGAGATCTACGCGGGGGCCATGGCTGCACAGGAGCTACGCTGGCTCACCTACCTGCTGACTGACCTAGGAGAGCCACCTCGTTCTCCTCCAGTTCTGTACGTAGACAACAAGGCCATGCTGGCCTTATGTCGGGAGCACAGAATGGAGCACAGAATAAAGCATATTGCTCTTCCCTACTTCCTTGCTCGTGAGTGTAAGAATGAGAACGAGAATTCATCAACTATGATTGAAGTGGGTACATATAGGAAACCCTAAATGGGTTGTACCCCCTATGGGATACCCCACTATAGCCTACACAACAGCATAAGCTATAATGTTCTAACACACCCCCATAGGCAAAGTGGGGGAGAACAAGGGGTCACAAGACCTGTCAAGGAAAGCAAAGCAAAGCAAGCTCAGGGTGGATCACAAAGTCACCACACAGTCTGAGCACAAGGTCAAGGCCACAAGGCCAGTTCACAAGCAAGAGTACACACATATATATAAAGCTAGACAAGCAAGAGCAGGTATACATATATGTGAGAGTACAAGCAAGGTCAAGAGGAGAGCAAGTGAGGCAAGACGGGCACAAGACCGAGCTGAGTGCAGAAGCGCTGATGATCACAAGGCGCAAGTGCCTTGGTGAAGACATTAGCAGTGTTGGCCTCAGAGGCCACGTACGCAAGCCGCAGCTGTCCACGTTGCTGTAGCTCACGAGCAAGGAAGTAGCGGAGAGCAATGTGCTTCGTTCTGTACTCCAGGCGCTGCTCTCGACTCAAGGCCAGCATGGCCTTGTTGTCTACGTACAGGACTGGAGGAGAACGAGGCGGCTCTCCAAGGTCAGTCAGCAGGTAGGTGAGCCAGCGAAGCTCCTGTGCAGCCATGGCCCCGGCGCAGATCTCAGCCTCACAACTGGAGCCGAGAACAGAAGACGAGCGAGTAGCCCGCCACGAAATAGAGCCGGAACCAAGGCTGAAGGTGTAACCCTGTGACGACCGCTGCGTAGCCTGGTCGTCAGCCCAAGAAGCGTCCGCGTGCCCAGTAAGGACCACTGGACTCCGCCCTCCAAGCACTAGCCCCATGCCCGACGTACTGCACAAGTAGCGCAACACCCTCTTCGCTGCAGCCATGTGCTCTGGTTGGTGTCTCCGAGGAGCTACATAGCGTGCGAGAATGCTAAGAGGGTATGCAAGGTCAGGACGTGTGCAGGTCATCAGGTACATGAGGCAGCCAACAAGCTCTGGGTACGGGCCACTCGACTCTACGGACTCATCCGAAGGCAGAGCTGAGAGCGAGTGGCGAGTAGGCAGAGGAGTGGCCTGAGGCGAGGAGTACGTGAAGCCGAAGCAATGAAGGACCTGCTGCACCATGTGTGACTGAGTCAGGGTAATGGTGCGGCGTGCTCTGTCCCGGGTGATCTGCAAGCCAAGGTAGCTGCGCAGTTCACCCAGGTGTGTTCACGTGTGTCTCTTCTGCAGCTCGGACTTCACGTAGGCGAGTCCAGCAGTGTCAGCTGTGGCGAAGACCAAGTCGTCGACGTACACGAGGATGTAGAACGGCGGCAGAGAGGTGTCGGTGCGGAGAAACAGCGACGGGTCAGCAGTAGAAGGAGAAAACCCAAGAGCCGCAAGCGTAGTCCTCAGTGTGTCGTGCCACTCACGTGGCGCCTGGCGGAGACCATAGACTGGACGCCGGAGACTCCCCTGGGTAGTGAAGCCAGGTGGGCGACGCAGCCAGATCTCCTCGTGCAGGCTGCCCTGCAAGAAAGCTGTGCTGAAGTCGAGAGAGTGCAGCTCGTAGTCACGGTGAGCAGCAACGTGCAGCAGTACCCGAAGAGTGGTCATCTTTGGGGTGGGAGAGAAGGTCTGAAAGTAGTCAACTCCCTGCCGCTGACTGAAGCCACGAGCCACGTAACGCGCCTTGAAGACAGGCGGAGAGCCCGGCGGCCGCTTCACCCTGAAGATCCACATGCCACTGACGATGTTCGCCCCAGGAGGGGGGACAGCGTCAACGTAGGTGCCTGTGGACTTCCAGGAAGCCATCTCTGCATCCATAGCTACCTGCCACTGAGAGGAGTAGGGACCCTCTATCGCCTCCGCGTAAGAGCGCGGAGTCGGGATGTCAAGTGCATCCGGGTCTCCCTCAGGGGTAAGCAGTACGGACACGAGATGAGGTGAAGCAGCTGCCAGACACTAGAACTCCTCCTACCTGTCCTCAAGGACGTCCGTGCCAAGGGCACACTTACCCCCGACAGACGGAGGACAGACAGACTCAGACTTAGCGACAAGACTCGCAGCGTAGTCTAAGCGACAACGAGCAGCAAAGTCGACGAGCTCAGCAACTAGAGTAGACGCAGCAGTAGACTCAAAAAAAGGGTCAGTGACAACAGTAGCAAGGAGACGCGTGACAGTAGGACTGGCAGCAGGAAGAGAGTCCGACTCCGGGTCGGGAAGAGCAGGAAGAGAGGACTCAGGAGGAGAAGGCAAAGGGGCACGCAGAGGAGCATTGGACGGACAAATAGACATCCGGTGCGTACCAGGGACAGGAGGAGGACGCTCACGCAAACTACGACCACTAGCGCGAGCAGGACGGATAGGTGACGTAGGGCGAGACGCAGGCTCACGACGCTCAGCAAGACCTCCAGTAGGACCAGTGTAGGGAGAAGGAGCAGGCAAAGGGGAGGTAGGCTGCAGCAAAAACTGTGGCTGGACAGGCTGCGGACACTCTAAGGGAGGAGGAGGACCAGCAGAAGGTGGAAGACCAAGAACCTGCTGCAGGAGTGGAACGAAGTACGGTCGAGGCCGCGTGGCGACGCCAGAAGCAGCAAGGACAGCACCAGTACCCTCAGTAGGAGCACCCGCTCCAGCAGCACCTCCAGCAGCTCCAAAACCTCCAGCAGCACCAGGAGCACCTCCAGCAGGACCGCCAGCGGCAGTCTCAGCGCCAACACCCGCAGCAGCACCAGCTCCAGTCAAACCCGCAGGCCCAGCAGCTCCAGTACTACCAGTACGAGCACCTCTGGGACCCGCGACCGCAGCACCCTCAGCAGCCGAAGAACCTCCAGCACCAACAGCACGACGCCAGCGCCGGGCAAACCACTCGCGCAGCTCCGGTGGAGAGAGTGGCTCCCGGCGAGACGAAGCACCTGGAGAACCTCCAGGTGGAGCACCTCCACACGCAGTACCCCCAGGCGTAGCACCCCCAGGCTCAGCACCCCCCGGCTCAGTAAGCCCTGGCTCAGCACCCCCAGGCTCAGCATCCCCAGACGTAGTACCCCCAGGCTCAGCACCCCCAGGCTCAACACCCCCAGACGCAGCACCCCCAGGCCCCGCACAACCAGGTCCAACAGCCACAGGCTCAACACCCCCAGCGGCAGCACCCTCAACAGCACCAGAGTCACCAGTGACCTCGATAGGCTTGACTGCGTCTACCTGGGACACACCTGAAGGGGCAGGACCCTGAGGGGGCAGGGGGTCTACCTGAGGGGGACCTGGTGCCAGGAAGAGTGGGGGTGGGGGGAGGGACGGAGTGCGGTAGGGGAAGAGGCGGTAGTAGGGGACCGACTCGTCAAACGTGGCGTCCTGGGAGGACAGAACACGACGAGAGGTGGGGTGGTAGAACTGCCACCCAGGCGCGTCAGGGGGTAACCCCAGGAAGACGCAAGGAGCAGCACGAGGGGACAGCTTGTCCGCAGACAAGTCGCGGACAAACGCTCGAGATCCCCAGACACGGAACGCCGACGCATCGCCAACCTTCCCCGAGTCGCCTCGAAGTCAGCAGGGAGTGCAGCGCGGTAGCGAGTGTCACTAGTGCGGAGGTACGTGATGAGGTCAGCTACGGTGGGAAAAGCAGCAAGGTCAGGGAAGAGGTACGGCAGCATGAGACGGCTCAGTGCAGCAGTGGCAGGGGAGGAGTAGCGCACGACTACAGCGTCGTACAAGGTCTGAGCACTCTTGTACTGGCTAAAGTGCGCACGCTTGGAGGTAGGGAGGTGGCGACGCACAGCAAGACGTGCAGTAGCGTCGCGCGTGGCCCAGTGGGAGCGAACAGTGGCGTCAGCATTAGCAGCAGGGGCAGGGGAAGCGCCAGAGGTAAGGTCAAAGAGAGAGAGGCCGTTTGCCCTATAGCACTGTAGGAACAGCTGCTGGTCGTCGACCCAGACCTCAAAGTCTACGGCTCGTCCCTCAGCGGGAAACGTGAGGACACTAGGGGGAGCCATGACTACAGATGACGAGCAGTGTAAACAGTAGGGGAGGGAGGGCCGTGTAGGGGGAGAAGGCACTGTGCTCACCAGACAGGGCAGCTCTGATAGTCCAGCTGCTGAGCGGCTCGGTGGCAGAGCGGCTCGGCGGCAGGGCGGCTCGGCGGCAGGGCGGCTCGGCTTCCGGGCGGCTCGGCGGCAGGGCGGCTCGGCGGCAGGGCGGCTCGGCTTCCGGGCAGCTCGGCGGCAGGGCGGCTCGGCGGCAGGGCGGCTCGGCGGCTGGGCGGCTCGGCTTCATGGCGGCTCGGCGGCAGGGCGGCTCGGCGGCGGGGCGGTTCGGCTTCCTGGCGGCTCGGCGGCAGGGCGGCTCTCGTGCAGGGCGGCGCGGCGGCGCTCTCGTGTAGGTATGGCGGCGGGTGAGCCGCAATTAGGGCGGCGGGTGCGCCACAGGTAGGTTGGCGGGTGGCCGCAGGTAGGGCGGCGGGTGCGCCACAGGTAGGTTGGCGGGTGGCCGCAGGTAGGGCGGCGGGTGCGCCACAGGTAGGTCGGCTGGTGGCCGCAGGTAGGGCGGCGGGTAGGACCGCAGGTAGGTCGGCGGAGGGCCGTAGGTAAGGGCGGCGACGGGCCGTAGGTAAGGGCGGCGACGGGCCGTAGGTAGGGCGGCGACGGGCCGTAGGTAAGGGCGGTGACGAGCCGGTGCAAGGGCGGCGCGAAGCCGCGGGTAAGGGCGGCGACGGGCCGGGGCGGCGCGAAGCCGCAGGTAAGGGCGGCGACGGGCCGGGGCGGCTCGAAGCCGCAGGTAGAGGCGGCGCGAAGCCGCGAGAAGGGCGGCGACGGGCCTGAGCGACGCGAGGCCGCAGGTAAGGGCGGCGCGAAGCCGCCGGTGAGGGCTGCGCAAAGCCGCGGGTAAGAGCGGCGACGGGCCGGGAAAAAAGGCGGCGCGCCGCAGCCGCTAGGGCGGCTCAACGCGACCGTAAGGGCGGCGCGACGGGCCGCTAGGTGCGACTCGACGGGCCGCTAAAAAAAAAGGCAGGCGCGACTCGAGGCGCCCTTCGGTGGGCCCAAGGAACAGTCCCTAGGAGGGGACCTGCTCTGATTCCATGTAACAATGAGAACGAGAATGCATCGACTATGAATGAAGTGGGTACATATAGGAAACCCTAAATGGGTTGTACCCCCTATGGGATACCCCACTATAGCCTACACAACAGCATAAGCTATAATGTTCTGACAGTGAGCTCCAGCAGCGTGGTCAGCTGCGCCTTGCTTACGTGGCCTCTGAGGACAACCCTACTGATATCTTTACCAAGGCACTTCCGCCTGGTGATCATCAGCGCTTCCGTACGATGCTAGGTCTTGTGCCTACTTGGCCTCACTTGCTCACTTCTTGACCTTGCTTGGACTGTGATCTTTCTATACCTGCACTTGCTTGTTTGTCTTTATATATGATCTTGCATGTGAACTGGCCTTGTGGCGTTGCTCTTGTGTTCGGACTGTGTGGTGACGTTGTGATCCACCCTGAGCTTGCTTTGCTTTGCTTGACTGGTCTTGTGACCTCTTGTTCTCCCCCACTTTGTCTATGGGGGTGTGTGAAACTCATATGCTTTAGTCTGTGTAGGCTGTAGTGGGGTAGATAATATGAGGTACAACTCTTTTAGGTTTTCCTACTTTTACCCACCTGCTTGCTAGTTCATTCATTCCTCGTTCTTTCAGACGGGGCTCCCGTAGGTGACAGGATCTTGTGCACATTTTTACTGTACATTCTTAAACGCTGGCAAAAATCTGTTACCTTATTTATTACGACGCAACAGTGCTACATCCCGGGCGCAAAACCGATCTTCGAGCCGATCGATCCGCTTCAGTTGACGCGTCCTAAATCCCCTCCCTACAGCAAACCAACAAACACCTCAGCCACACTACTTTCTTTGCCTTATGATGAAGAGCCATGTACTCAGTCTTGCATGAAGACAACCCCACATCTTTCTGCTTCTTGATGCACCACCTCACTGCACCACCTCCAAACATTTGTTGTGAGGATGGCATTACTCGTTCGTTCACGCTTCCGCCCTCTCCATACCAGAATGGGTTCTCTAAGCACCAGATTGGCTTGATCATGGAGGTTGCTCACACCTCCATGATCCATGCAGCTGCTCCTTATTTTCTATGGGTGTTTGTAGTCCGATACGCTGCGGATCAGCTCAACCTCTGTCAGCGTGTCTCCCAGCCATAGATCTTGCCTACCTTGCTTTGGACGGGAGAGGTTGGCAATGCGACTGGTTTCAGGTCTGGATTTGTTTGCCCTTATCCACAATTCTACCCCGAGAAAACTCTCTCCTCACACCATCAGATGCGTCTTCTGTGTTATTGTCACAATAGGCTACAAGGTCTCTAAAACGAAAGATAGAATGCACAGTCGCATTTCTGCACAGAGGCTTTAAACGTTCATAGCGTTCTGGTCACAGCTTTAAATGACGCGATTCAAGTTGGATCCGGAGCGCCTTATAGTCCTCTACAATAGGCAATTTAAATCGCACGATTTCACCAAGTATTGACCATACATCGTCGTTTTAACGAACAGCACTATGGCAGCCACTATAGTCTTAGAACACAAGATAGGAAGATTCAGCAAGAGTTACGAGTTGGGAATGACTCCCAGCTCCTACAAATCCCAGGAGCCGGGGTGCAGTGATGTGGAACAGTGCCACACTGTCCCCAACCACGAAGGGTCTCGAAACTACCCTTCACTAGGGCCTACACTAAGTAAAATGTTACACTACACAAAGTAATGTAACTATCTTCAATATCTTGAGGTGTACCCTTTTGGCGAGCTTCGAAATCACTTGAGGCTTGACACCAAGGCTCGGGTTCTTCGTCACAAACTCATCTTTGAGTTTGGCTGCACACATCTGCGACACGCCGAACGTTCGACACAGGACAAAATAGAAACCGCGCGAGACACACAAACGACGAAATAGAAACCGCGCGGCTGCCCCTTATTTTCTATGGGTGTTTGCAGTCCGATACGCCGCGGATCAGCTCAACCTCTGTCCGCGTGTCTCCCAGCCAGAGATCTCACCTACCCTGCTTTGGATGGGAGAGGTTGGCAATGCGACTGCGTTTCAGGTCTGGATTCGTTTGCCCTTGTCCGCAATTATACCCCGAGCAGACTCTCTCCTCGCACCATCCGATGCGTCTTCCGTTGCTTTCCCGTCGACGCGCCTGATAGGCAGTTTTACCACCCAATCATTTGCTGCGTCTTGTCCTCGTGACGTCACCTTTGATGAGTCAGTTTGCTACTATCGTCGCTTTCCCCACCGCAGTTCCCTAGTCCCCCCTCCTCCCCCCCCCCCCTCGCTCAGGTCACACTACCCCCCTTGGTTGACCCTTTGGAGGTCTCCTCAGACCCCTCTGGCCTGGTTGAGGGAGGTGACCCTACTGCCGACAACACGGCGGTCTCTCGTCGCTCACCGTGCTTGGAGACTCCTCTTGGCTTTCCGCCTCGACCATCTTCACCGCTGCAGCTTGTCGATGTGAACTCTGATGCTATTGGGGGTGGTGACGCTGAAGGTGCGGGCTCTGGGGTTGTTGATTCTAGTGGTGCTTGTTCTGGGGTGCTGGTTCTAGGGGTGCTGGCTCTGGGGGTGCTGACCGTGAGGGTGCTACCTCAAGCGGTGCTGATTGTATGTGTGGTGGTGGAGTTGAGGGCCGTACTGTCGAAGGCTCTGCCGTACTGGAGTTTCTAGAGGTTTTAGAGTTGGAGGTTCCGGAGTTGGAGGTGCGGCTACTGAGGGTTTGGCCGTGCTGGAGGTGGAGGTGTTCTAGGTACTGCTGAGCAGCCGCTGCCACGCCAACCGTTGTTTTTGGAGCAGCCACAGTCGTTGCTGCCTCCCCCTGGCTCGATTCTTCTCTAGGTTCTCCGTCTTCTGCCTACCTCTGCAGAGCCATATGCCCCTGGTACTACTCCTCCTCTACTGTGTCCACCGCCTGACCTGTCTCAGATACAGTTACCGCTTGACTCCCTACTGCTTGTTCCTTCTTGTTACACTCTGTTGACATACTCCCTGACTAAGCATCGAGAGCCTGCTCGCCGTGTTCCCCCTCCACCTGTTCCTAGTGAGCACACTATGGCACTTCGTCCTTCCTTTGTTGCAGAGCATCTTGTCTTGCCGTCTCCTCCAGCGTCCTTTCTTCCTGACGTTACGGACCCTGTGTCTGACCTTGCTTGTGCTGCCAGTCTGACGCGTCTCGATGGACCCTCCATTTTCGTCTGCTGCTGCGATTGCCTTAGTCACTGAGCACTTTGAATTTGATGCTACCTGTCGCCTTTGTGTCAAGGGTGAGCTTACCCTTTGCTGTAACTTCCTTGAGGATATACACCTTGAGCTCGAGTGCCTCGCGCCTGCTATACCTCATCTTGCTGCCAGGCTGTCACCCCAGAGGAGACCTGGATACACTAGAGATCCTGACCCCGCGCTCTTACGTAGAGGCGATCACGGGTCCTTATTCCTCTCAATGGCAGACAGCCCCATGACACAAAGATGGCATTCTGGAAGTCCACATGCACCTACGTCGATGTAGTTCCCCCTCTTGGGGCGAACATAGTCGATGGCATGTGGGTTTTCAGGGTGTAGCAGTCGCCGGGTTCCTCGCCTGCCTTCAACAGGCATTAAGATGCACGAGGCTTTAGTCCGTGTCAGGGGGTCAACTTCTTCCATACCACTCTTTGGGTGTTACTACACATTGCAGCACAGTATAACTACGAGCTGCACTCTCTCGAATTCTCCATAAATTTCTTGTATGGCAGCCTTCACGAGGAGATTAGGCTGCGCCGCCCACCTAGCTTCACTGGGTCGTTTCCTGAGGGTACCCAGCGGAGCCTCCGACGGCAAGTTTACGGTCTCCGCTAGGCGCCTTGTGAGTGGGATGACACACTAAGGACGACACTTGTGGCCCTTGGCTTCGCTCCTTCGATTCCTAATCTGTTGTTTCTACGCAACAACCATTCTGTGCCGCCGTTCTACATCCTCGTGTATGCGGACGACTTGGTCTTCGCAATTGCTGTCACTGAGGCACTAGCCTATGTGAAGGCCGAGATGTAGAAGTGACACAAATGTACTGACCTGAGTGAGATGCAAAGCTATTTTGGCCTGCAGATTACCCGGGACGGAGTAACACACAGCATCAATCTGATATAGTCATACATGGTGCAGTAGGTCCTTTAGTGCTTCGGCTTTCAGTTCTCCTCGCCACAGCCCACTCATCTGCCTACAAATTACTCTCTTCAGCTCCACCTTCGGA